TATATATATATATATATATATATATATATCGTCACAAACAGAACTGCCCGGTAAAACCGTAGGCAGAGAGAGAGAAGAGGACAACAAACGAGGGGCTATATATATGTATATATCGTCAAATAGAACTGCCTGGTAAACCGTAGGCAGAGAGGGAGAAGAGGACAACAAACGAGGGGCTGTGACAAACTGTTTCGTCGGAGTTTCACCGACTCACATATATATATATATATCGTCAAATACAGCCTCCTGATGAGTCGGTGAAACTCCGACGAAACAGTTTGTCACAGCCCCTCGTTTGTTGTCCTCTTCTCCCTCTCTGCCTACGGTTTACCGGGCAGTTCTATTTGACGATATATATAGTAGGTGAACTTTTCTAACGGAATCCGTCTGCCATCACAACCGTTCAGGTGGGAAAACCGTTAGCTTGACAATGTCCTTGGACTTTGACAGGTTGGGACGGCATGACAAACGGTTGCTGAATGCAGGAACAACATCACATGAAACGTGTAAAAGCGATACCCCGGCTATGAATAGCCAGCCATACCCCCAGCTATAAATAGCCAGCCACACTACGGCTATGCCTATTGATCCCTCTGGCAATACATAGCCGGCCTTAGCTGCAGCTATCGCTCTCAGATCATAGTCGAATGAAGGTCCATTATCCCCCCCCCCCCCCCTCCTCCTCGAAAATGTGGAAATTGCCGACACTACCCAACATCTTACTAACAGAATATCTATCGAAACGCTGGCTTATATTGTTATTCCCAACAAATTTGATTCGCAATTCAGGGTCTCATTCTTCTGCTCCTAGGAGGATTCCCAACAAATTTGATTTGGACAAACCAGAACTCCTTTGAAATTTGAACAAAAGAAGAGAAAGAAGAAGAGGAGGATACTTTTGTTTCTGTCTATCTCTGAATCCGTATTGATGAAGGTGTCCTCCTCTGGGACGACCTCGGAAACCTCTGGAATCATCAGTGGAATGACTTCGACGACTGGTCCATCTCGCAACATGACCTGACAGTTCCTTGCTGCATGCTCCAAGGACAGAACCCCTTCAGTATCCACAAGTTTTCTCCGGTGGTCGGCTTCCTCAGTCAGCTTAGTCATTCTTCCACATAATGAAGATGGATGACAACAACAAGAAAAAACAAGATCAGCTAAAAGCCTAAAAGACAATGGTTTTCTGAGTTTTCTTTTGCCTTTCTTTTTAGCACCGTTCTTCTTTACAACAGCATCACTGTGTTTTGCTTGGGCTGTTTGTTTGTGTAACCCTACAGTCTTCCCCTGCCGAATACAACGTACGGTCATTATAGCTGAATTTGGGGTATCTTTCAGTCTAAATACAGCTATAATGACCGTAATTTGTATTCGGGGGAGGAAGGCAGGGGCAGACATTTTTGCGAAATGGCAAAAAAAATGGCCGTGAACCTTTGAGAACAGTGACGCAATAGCCAGACGCTTATGTGCATATTGTAATGACCTGACCAAACACGGACTGAGACACAAAGCTGATTTCTGAGCTTTGTTCATGGACTGAATGCCTTGCTGAGTTTCCCACTTGTTACTGAGTTCTCTAAGTCTGTGTGTGTGCACGCTTGCTGGTCTGCATGTCTGTCAGAGTGCTTGTCGGCTTGAGTGCGCGTGTGACCCGCAAGGGCACTTGTTCATTCAGGGGGGCCTGAAGGGCCGGTACTTACCTGTGGCCGTGACATTGCCGATTGCAGTGGGGGGGGAACACTCAAGTGGCGGGGAAAGAGGCCCACGACACTTGAAGCAGCAGAAAACACTCAAGTAGCGGGTAGGCCGGTACCACACCAGCTGGAGGTAGATGTGCCGGGTACTTGAGGCCAAGCAGAAGAAGACAACAGTTGGCATTTTAGAGGACCAGTAGTTGTAGGCTAGGTCTAGGCGGGTACCAGTCCAACCAGTCTGAGTCTAGGGCCTGTACGGGCAATATCAGAGTCTGCAATGATGTTTCCCTCCGAAAGGGAGGAGGTACCGGTTGCTTGGAGGCCGCGCGGCCTAGGAAGTCACTCACCAAGAGGCAAGCAGGCCGCTTTATCTGCAGGAGGAGCCAGTTGCTCCTCCTCATTGTCAGTGTGCAAGTTTGGCAGCACACAGGTTGGAGCGCTGGCTGGAGCAGCGCTAGCACACAGCTGTGCTGCTGGGGAAGGACCAAGGACACGGAGGAGGAAGAAGACCAGGACTAGGAAGGGGAGCACCAGAGGTACTTACCTGGCTATGGTGGTTGCCATATGCATCACCTTGGTGGGCGCTGCAGCAGGAAGGCCTGGTTGGGGCAGAGCTACACCAAGAAGCTTTGAGGCAGAGTCAGGCATGGCGGCCTGAGCTAGAGCAGCCAATAGCTGCTTTGTGTTGTCCTTTGGACAGCAGGGCGACGCCCTGGTAGTCCGCCATAGCCTCGACCTATGAGGAAGAGAGAGAGAGGGGCGGCCATGGATATGGTGGACCTCAAGTGATACCTGCAGTAGAAGAGGGACTCGGACATTGATTATGGATCAGCCATTCAACATTGTAATTATTATTCTTGTTTGAATAAGAGAGGAGGAGATGAGGAGGAGGAGAGTGGTTGGCGAAGAAGAAGAGCATTATCATTGGTCTATGCTGGTGTAAATCATCTTCTTCTTCTTTCTTTCTTCTTCTTCTTCTTCTTTCCCTCTTTCTTCTCTCAAGTTCATTCATTTCTTTTTGCAAGTGGACGGCATTGTACTTTCTGATGAATGTGTACTTCGAAATTCACCAGGAGCATAACAGTATGAGCTTGCAATGACATATAAGAGGAAGAAAAGGAATCGGACAAGAGGGAGGATGAGGAGGAGAGGGGAACAACGAGGAGAACGGCAATAATGAGGAGGACAAGGAGAAGGAAAAGTACGAGGAGGTGGAGCAAGACAAGAATAGAAAAGGCAAAAAATGTGTTTTGTTAAAGGTGAATACTTTTCCAAAAATTGAACATTTTTTTAATTTTGAAAGGGGCTGTACGTAAGGGGCATGCCATCCAAAAATTACAATCAATATTCGAAAGGATCAGATGTTTGGAGGTCGGCACAATGATGTGCGAGCTTGTCCAACAAAGCCTGCTTTTACTGATTCTGTTTCTTGGTGCAATCAGTCCCTTCCCCCTCCCCCTTCCCCCCCCCCACCTCCCTTTCTTTCTTTATTTAAACAATTGGACCCGCTGCGGCAAAGCCGCGGCCCAGTGCCAACCCCACCGCCATGGCACCATGCCTGCCACGCAGCATTATAAGGCCTGCATGATGCCATCCGGTGCCAGCCGTACCAGGCGGCATCACCCAGGGTGGGCCATACCATATGGACCAGATGGTACTAACACACACCACACTCTCCCAACCCCCCCAAAAAAAGAACACAGCCAGGGCCACGAAAAAAAAAAAGAAAAAGAAAAAAAAGCATGCCCAACATTAGGCACAATTTGGCCATTGCGACAGGCAGGCGGCACCATGCGAGGTGAGCGGTATTATCAGGCCTGCGTGACACTATGTGGGTTCGTCGCATGACATGAGGGATGCGTACTATTTTGGGCGGCATCGGCCAAGGTATCAGTACCGGTACGCCCTTGGATCCTCTTCGCCTTTTCTTCCCATAAACCCCCAGATAAGGATTATGAGATCCAACGGGTGGATGCCCTCCACACAGAGTTACGGTGCCAGTTGCAGGAGGTAGAAGGTAGGAGAGAAAGAGCAAGACGTAGAAAAGCGAGACTAGAGGCAAGGGGAGAGGAGTTAGGCAAGTTAGAAGCTATAGATGAGTCAGCTCTCGATCCTGTAGCGCGATCCCTTCGGAACTCCCTTTTGAGTGTTGCCGAAGTACAAGTTGTGCAGCAAGAGATGCTGGCTGCACTGATAACTGGTCAGAATGAGATTCTGACCGCACTGCGGGCGCCACGACCTCCGGTCAGGCAGCCACAGTTTGCTGTAGCTCCCCCTACGGTTGCAGGTCCCACCATGATGCCGCAGCCGATAGGGCAACCCTTTTCTCCTCAGTTTGTCATGCCCCTATCAGGCAGTCTAGTAGCAGGTAGTAGTGGGCAGGTTCCTGTACAGCCTTCTTCATTTCCCCAACCGGTGGTTGCCGCTACAGGGCAGCCACAAGTGCAACAACCTTTGCAAAAGGGGCCGCAGCAGCAGCAATTGCCGCCGTAGTGACCTGTCCCACCGGTTTCACAACCAATGCAGCAGGCACAAGGATTTGTACCACCCATGCAGTGGACACCCAAGATACCCTTGGTGAATCCTAAACCCTTCTCTGGCGACAAGAAGAAGGAAGAGGATCTGGGTACCGGGGTGAGAACTGTGACGTGAGGCACAAACTCACTAGGACAGAGGAGGAAGTCATTGCCGATGTGTCCTTTCTAGAGGGATCTGCAGCCAGATGGTTGAATGGGTTAGTGCACCAGCAGGGCTACGATCAGAACTTCGATGGCTGGGCACAGGCTAGATCATTGGAGGAGTTCGTACGGTTAGCCTATAGCAGGTGGCATGACTCCCAAGGGTCTCAGAAGGCCACAGACTCTCTAGCTAGTCCGGGATCAAAGAGATACCAGACAGTATGGGAAGTAACGGACGCCTTAGAGCGATTGATCGTGGTTCCCGGTGTGCGGTTTGCGATGTCTGATGTCAAAAATAAATTGGTCGATGAGGCCTCCATCGACATGCATGACTTTGCTTCGTTCAGAAAGAAGGCCTTAGACATTGAGGCTAGGCTTGGGAGTGCCTAGCAGGGACCGGTAGATGGAAGAAAGAAGAAGCTCCCTCAAGATTGGAAGAAGGGGGCAACCTCATGTTTGTTGACCATGACGGTCAAGCGACTGAGATTGATGACTTCTCTGACCTTGGGGAAGTAACAGGGTTGGATGGGGTTGGAGACACTTCAGAAGGTGGAGCGGTCGCTCCTGTCAGGGAAAAGACTAAGGGGGCTGGAAAACATAAGGCAGGTCGGCCTAAGGGTCAATATGACCAAGATACACCCATATGGGTAAAACTTGGTCTAGAGTACGAGGTGTGGTGAGATCGCGTTGTACGAGGCGCTTGCCTGAACTGTGGTTAGTATGGTCACACCATGGCTAAGTGCAAGAGTAAGAGGGTCGCCACGAAGGTCGCGTCCCCAATAGTGATGGTCGGATCTTCAAACTCTGGCGGTTCTTCTGCGAGCACTTTGCAGGGAAACACCTCGGGCCAGTAGGAGTGTTAGCCGCTCTTACTCGTGCTGAAGTGGTAACCTTACCTTCTCCATTTCAGGCGAAGGCCAAGGCTATTGACCCATTGATCGCCCCCCAGACAGATCTAGACCAATTGATGCTTTGTTCGATGGATGTATCTGAGTCCTTAGAGGAGTTAGAAACTGAGTGGTTAGAGAAAGACCCTAGAGACTCCTGGGCAATGTTGAACAAAGGTCCAAAAGGTGAACACTTCGTGGTAGAAGTCAATGCAGGTGGCCGAAAGGTTGGCGCCTTCGCAGACATCGATTCTACGTCAAACTTCATCAGTCGTGCTTGTGAGAGGATGGGCTGTGCTTAGGGGACCAAGTGCAAAAACTTAGCAGATCTGTGGCATCTACCTTAGCCAACAAGCACTCTATGGTAATAAAGGACTATGTCAAGGATGTAGTCTGCAACTTCTCCTATAGAGGAGGGGACAGATACATAAAATCTCATTCCTTGTTAGCGACGAGCTGCCATTCGATATGTTACTAAGCATGTACCACCTCGAGCTTGCTAAGCCTCAGTTTTATTGGGATTGGAAGGTGATGATCCACAAGTTGCCAGATGGAAGAACCGTTAGGCTGCAAAAAGTTTAAGGCTAGCAGACTAGTGGAGAACTACGGTTGCATGCGCGCGTCATCTTTCTATAAATACTACAAGCAAAATCGCGAGGAAGGCATATACCTAGTCTTTGTCTCTGAGAAAGGGGAGGCCGTAAAAACACCCCAAGATATAGAAGCAGTCCTTGTACAATATTCAGACCTTTTCGAGGAGCCTAGGGATGTGGTGGAAAGGGAGATTGTCCATGCAATAGAAGTCGTTCCTGGTAGCAAAGTACCTAGGGGACGAATCTATAGGATGTCTCCTGCAGAGTTAGATGAGCTCCGCCGCCAGCTCAAGGAGCTCACAAAGAAGGGTTGGATTCGGCCAAGTACGTCCCGCTACGGAGCGCCAGTTTTATTTATCCCCAAGAAAAGGGGGACCCTAAGGATGTGCATTGATTATAGGCGCCTCAATGCCATCACCGTTAAGAACGTGGAACTCCTACCACGCATTGACGACTCTTGGATAGAGTGCAGGGATGCCGGTACTTTACTAAGATAGATCTGAAGTTCGGATACCACCAGATTGCGATTAGACATGAGGATCAGCACAAAACCGCCTTTCAAACTAGGTACGGTCTGTACAAGTTTGCGGTGATGCCCTTTGGCCTATGCAATGCTCGTGGGACATTCCAACACGCAATGAACCGACTCTTTATGAGTACTTAGACAAGTTTATCGTCGTGTACCTCGACGATATTCTTATTTTTAGTAAGACTGTAGAGGAGCATGTTGAGCACGTGAAAAAAATGCTAGGGATCCTAAGACAACACCAGTACAAGGTTAACTTGGAGAAATGCGAATGTGGTCGCACCAAGATTTTGTATCTGGATCATGAGATTTCCGCGGATGGTTTGAGGCCGAATGACACTGAAGTGGCCAGCATACGTGACTGGCCCAGACCTCAATTTGTGATTGAGGTGAGGTCATTCTTGGGGATGACAGGCTATTATCGTCCATTTGTGAAAAATTAAAGCACGATAGCCTCCCCACTAACTGACCTCACGCACCTTGACACCCCTTGGGAGTGGACCGAAGAGTGTGAGGCAACCTTCAAGAGATTGAAGTATGCCCTGACGCACTATGAAGTCCTTAAGCTTTTCGATCCTGGACAACCATTTGTTATGACCACAGACGCCAGCCAATATGGCATACGCGCAGTCCTTGCGCAGAAGGAGGGGGAGAAGTTAAGGTCGATCGAGTACATGAGCAAAAAGACGCCATCTCATAAATTAGCCAAGTCCACGTATGAGCGTGAGCTTTATGCCCTCTACAGAGTGCTGGTCCATTGCAAGCACTACCTCCTAGGCAGATTCTTTTATGTGAGATCTCACCATGAGATGCTGCGTTGGATCAAGACACAGCACGTGCTCTCCGACGCACTCAAGAGGTGGATTGAAGTCATAGACATGTACGACTTCAAGCTCGACCCTCTAAAGGGAAAGTACAACAAAGTGGCTGATGCAATATTGCGAAGGGCAGACTATCTAGGTGAGCTAGTGACTGAGTTTGGAATATCTGAGGGTGTAACTCGATCCATGGTGGAAGACTATCAAGAGGACGTTGTCATGTCTGAGATCATTCGCAAACTGGAAGCTAAAGAGAAGGCTACTTTCGATGAGTTTGTGTTGTTTGACGGCTTGCTGTTCTTTGAGAAGGCTGGGAATAAACATTTGTGTGTACCAAATAGAGAATTTTTGCGTAGTCTATTTTTAGGAGAGTGTCACGATGCAACTGGTCGTTTTGGCTATAAAAAGACTGACAAACTTAGCGCAGAAATTTTGGTGGCCCACAATAATGGATGATGCAAAGAAGTATGTAGAAACTTGCCAGGTTTGTCAGCGTGACAAGCCACGGACGCAGGCACCGCTTGGGCTTATCAAGCCCTTGCCCATCCCTGCTGGTCCAGGTCAAAGTGTATCCACGGTTTCATGGATACCCTTGTGACCAGCAAGAGCGGTAAACGACACATCTTTGTCATTGTGGACAAATTCACAAAGTATGCTAGACTTACTGCTATGCTTGAGACAGCAAGGACTGACCACGTCATCAAGCTATTTATGGACAACTGGGTACGTGACTTTGGTCTCCCTCAGTCTATTGTAAGCGACAGGGATGTTCGATTCACTAGTGAATTGTGGCAAAGTACGGCCCAACAGATGGGTGCCCGACTGCAAATGAAATCAGGGAACCACCCCGAGCCAAATGGTCAGGCTGAACAGATGAACCGGGTAGTGCAGCACTTGCTTCAGCATTATCTTAAACAAAGTCAGGATGACTGGGATGAGAAGTTACCCCTCGTCGCCAGCCTGTATAATAACGTCATGCTCAGCACTACCAGCATGACTCCCAACCAACTGCATCTTGGTTGGAAGCCCATATCTGCATTAGACTTCCTGTTGCCTGAAAATCAGCCAACTACAGCCCCCGGCAGCGTAGAGTTTGTTGTCGAGTATGAACAGATGTTGCAGCACGCCGTAGAGCACATCAAGAAAGCTCAACACGCCATGGTTGCATCTGAGAACAAACACAAACGACCATCTGAGTTTCAGGTAGGTGAACGAGTCTGGGTAAAGTCATCTGAGTTGGGGCAGGAATTAGGAATCTCACGTAAACTAATGCCACAGTACTTTGCCCCTGGGAAGTTCTTGATATAGTGGGAGATCAACCAGATGGGTCATCAAACGTCATTCGCATTCCTGGACACCTACGTACACACCCTGTCTTCCATGCATCAAAGTTGGCGCCTTTCTCTGTCACTGATCGGTTTCTGTCCTGGAGATCGATGTTGCCGCCAACCATGGACGGACATGTGGACACTGACGACATCGTTGAACACAAGTTGACCCCTGTGCCCAGGCCTCCAGGCAGAGGACGTCCCCCGAAGCCACAGATGCAGTACCGGGTGTGGTTCAGACACCACACTGATCCTCAAGAAGATCGGTGGTTCACAAGAGAAGAATTAATGAAGACTGCTCCCCAAATTATCTCAAGTTATGAAGGGATTTGAAAGGGAAGCAGCCTGCTACATAACGACTTCTCAGAGGACTATTGAAGTAAAGGAGGAGAGAGTGTGAGGGTTTGACCCCTCAGCATATGGCCCTGCAACAGGCGCATGCCCGGCCCAAGTGAAGGTGGGCCCCCTGAACCTGTACGGGCCCTGAACTCGTCAGTTTTTGCAAATCTTGGTCGGCGCCAGACAGTTGCCACGCACCAGTTGGTTACATCCGCCCTGCACGTGAGAATGGGAAAGATTTGTGAGCCTTCCAGGCCATTCTAGCAACGTGGGTTTAAGCAAAGAACATCGCACGAATGTGCCTGGGTGGTTGGACATGCCTAACCAAATCGGTCCCAGGCCATTGTCTGAACGGGCCTGGGCGCAGACACCTTGGCCGAGACTGAAGCTACTGATCACTCGGTCTCACGTGGTCGTGGCAAGGCAAAGCGCCCGCCACTTTCCATATAGGAAAGGGCCGGCCGTCAGGGCAGACAGTCGGCACTTGCAAGTGCTAGTGTGTGGGCAAGTGCGCGCGTGTGTGCGGTCATGCGAGAGGTGCAGGGCGCTGCTGAGGGCAGCGCCATAGCCAGCCCCCATAGCCGGACTTGGCTTGGACGATAGCCAGTAAAGGTGGTGGTGGTCTTCATGTATGAGGAGGAAGGTGAGGGTAGAGAAGACGAGAGAGAGAGAGAGAGAGAGAGAGAGAGAGAGAGAGAGAGAGAGAGAGAGAGAGAGAGAGAGAGAGAGAGAGAGAGAGAGAGAGAGAGAGAGAGAGAGAGATGAGGATGATGATGATGATGTGAGGGCGCGTACCTGGTCTTGGCGATAGTCTACAAGGGTCGACATCTTCATGTACTTCGGCTCTGCTGCTGACGTCAACAGTTGCATTGTCAATTCGTAGGCTGGTAGGAGCTGTGTGATTGTAGTCTGGGCGCTGAGCGCCAAGTAGGAGGAAGGGCTCTGGATACATATGTCTGTGGTGGCGAGAGTATGCTCTCATTGACATTCGGATTCGGTGCTTTGGTTCGCCGTTGGGGTAATATAGGTGCAATAGTGTCAGAATTTCTGGCTTTCAATGTGATTTTGCAATGTGGAATCTGTCATGTCGCTATTGCCCATTTTCCTTGCACCTGAATAGAACGCACAGTTATTGCTTTACCCACACTGAAAGTTGCCCCAAATACAGCTACAACGACTGTGCGTTCCATTTCGGTAAAGACGGTAGTAAGCAGAGACAGTGTTGGGGCATTGCACCAAACATGCGATCCAATCACGGTACCCCCACCATGAAACCAAACATATATTTTGAATCTCCATCACCAGCAAATGGCAGCCTTAGCAATTAAAAGTGAAAACGTGATTCAAAAATCCACATAATTTAAAAAACCAGGCATTAACTTAAGCACATGATGTAACTGCAACTAAATTCACTAAGTTGCCATTGAAAAGAAAGCATCATTATTTCCACTAACCTCGCATCTGAGTCATCTCCCTCTGCCCTCTTCTCCTGGCCAGCATCAGTGCCTTTCTCTTCACTGTCATTATTATCCACTAAAGCAAGTTCCATTGCCCCTTCTCCAAATGCTGGAGTCGTTAATACCGTAGGCAGATGATGTTGATAACCCTGAGTATGAAGCTCCTTCGTGACACCTGTGGCACGGATTGAATATCAACCAGCATCACAAAATAGGGGGTAAACCCAGCGTCGCAAAAATTGGAGCTAAAGAAGTGAGAAAGAGAAAGAATAAGGAGTGACATAGTCTTCCTCCCGTGGATCATTCAGCAAGTGGGACGTTAGAGCACTATTCCGAATCCACCCACCCACCC